TACTAAAAAGATCTGTGTAAAAGATATTCAGATATCCTATTCTTTTTTAATCTTTTTTAACTTAAAAAATTTTTCAAGATAAGAATGCTTTTTTGAGGGAGGAATTTGAGAATATTATTTTTTGATATTAAATACACCAAGGAACAGGTTATTTCAGTACTAGGAATGCTTTTGTGCCATATGAAAGTGATGTTCCTTATGTTTGCTTAAAAAATATTGTCCTTTAATCTCCTTGGGCGGAGAACACTGGATTTTTTTTTTAAGGCAAATTTGCTCTATAGTGGTTTCCAGCTTCACCATCAAACAGGCTTTGTTCTTCAAGAATAATTCACAGTAAATAATGCAATACCTCTGAAAGTCCCTGTGGAAAGTCACAATTAATTTAAAACAGAATTTTGACATGCTGACAAGTTCCAAATTATATTTGTAACTCTCTTTTTAAATATAGTTTTCTTTCCTTTACATCATAAAGGTTTTTTCTTTCATTAGGTATTATTCAGTGCTTATTATGGGCAAAACTGTGTGCTAAACAGTAGGATAATTTTTGAAAAAAATTTTTTTTAGTTGTTGATGGACCTTAATTTTATTTATTTATACGTGGTGCTGAGAATCGAACCCAGTGCCTCACACATGCTAGGCAAGTGCTTTACCACTGAGCCATAACCCTAGCCCCTAGGGATTATTTTATAAAGAGTTATTTTATTCATTCAATATTTACTAAATACCTATAGGGTCTAGAGCATGATGACAGACTCCATAGTAAATAATTCCTGCCCTCTAGGAACTAGCAGTCTATTATATTTGAGAGAGAGTAGATATACACATATGAAATTTGTAAGTAGCAGTGTAGGAATTAAATTGTTCAGTGATTTTTAATTTAGTTCAGCAAAAGTCAAGATCAGTTGTAAGAGAATGATGGTAGTAAAAAGTGTCATAGAATAGATAGGAGCTGAAATATTGTTAGAATTTGAACAGTACAGGGGAAAAAGAAGGGAAAGGGCCTGGGGGTGCTAGAGATCCTGTTAAATTGTGAAAAGAAGTAGTAATACTAATGTCTGGATGGTAGATAAGCAGACTAACCTCTCCTTTTTCATCAAATTGAGGATAGCGGGAAAAGGTGAAGTCTTTATGGGGAAGGCATGCGAGATGTGACTGAAGGGGAAAACCTTGGTGAGTAAAGACATCAAGTTTAGCTAAAAGGATTAGGTAAACCCAGATGAAGGAACCTTGGGCAAATTATTTAACCTCACTAAACCTCAGTTTCATTATCTGTAAAACTATCAACCTCAGAGTCTAGTTGAAAGTGACTAACTGTATATTGTGAAGGAGTTTGAGATCTGTCATGTGTTAAAATGAACTTAATCTTTGCCATAAGGGGCCTACTTTTAGCTTTTCTTCAACAATCCATTTTATTTTGACTAATGACTTTGCATATTGTTTTGAAATATATAAAATATCATTAGCAAAACGATTCTTTCAAAGATTTTTTTGGTTCAAAAAATGTTGTTTATTAACACACCTAAATGTTGTTATTAACACACCTCTGCCTGAGACACAGAGGTTCAATTTTATTTCCACTTACTCAACTATTATTAGTCCGCTTCTTTAATCTTTAGGTTTTCTATAGTTTTCCTTTAATTGAACAGGTGGAATTGATTTTGGAGAGACTACGGAATTAACCTTTGTGATTCCATTTGCTTTCCACATTCTACCTACATGCCCTGAAACTCTATTACTCCTAGAAGTATTTCCAATTCTTACGTTCATTTGCCAAGTATAGTACTGTTCCAGGATTTTTTGTCTTTTATAGTTTTCACATAAAGTTAAATTCCTCAGCTTAGCACATAGGTCTCTCAATTCTCTGTTATCTACCTACTTCTCAAGTTTCTATCATCCCCTTTTTTCTTCAGGCATTCTGAATTATTTGTACTTCTTTGGAACATTATCCTGTTTTCTGGCTCTTACTTTTAAATGCTTTTCTTTCTTTTTTATCTAGCTACAGCCTGAGTGTTACGTTTTTTTCCTTAAAGGTTGCCTTTAAGAAAACCCTTAAGAGAGTTGTCTTCACATCTGCTTCTAAGCAATTCACCTCGCTATTGTTTCTCAGACTTTCTTCCTCCTTTAAAAAGTTCCTTCTGGAGCATTACTTGCTTTGCTAGTGACATTTGCCTAGAGCTCTGGAACATAGTTCTATTGCTAGACTACTGTTACCATAGCTTGGCCATCAGTGGAGATGTGGTTGGGGGCAAGTTATAATGTCTCTATTTCTCCATTTCTTCATTTCTTATAGTACCACCCCTGGTGTAGCTGGATTAGGTATTAGACAAGAGTTGGAATAAGTAAAGCAATTAAGGCATAGTATAGAAACATGAAAACCATGTCTAAAATACAGTTTTCTCTCTGTTCAGGGGAAAGCATCCAAGAAGCTGAAGTGTTCAGAGAGCAACTTCTTAATGTACTTCCCATACTCTTTTATCTTGAGAACTATGCCTGTAAGGAGTGCTTCTGTCCACTGTCCACCTTTGGGAAACCTTATTTATTTGGATTTATTTTCCTCACCAGTATTTTTCTACAAGTTTGAAACATTTTGACTACTACCTGTTAGCATTATTGATAATAGCCTTTGACACCCAAATTTTGTGGAGTGATCAAGAGTTTTTATGGTTTGTCCTAAGTTGATCTCCTTTGAGATCTTCCTGCTAATGTCAATTTTAGCCTTTTGTTTTTTCTAGGTTTTCAGTGGGTAACTCTGGAATGAGACACACTCATCAAGTATCTCTTCCAAAGTTTCACATTAAATTTTATGTATAGTAAAGTCTAATCAGATAATACAAAGATAGTTTCCTTAATGTATCCAAAGGATTCTTTCACTTCACTTTCTCATACAGTTGCAGGGTATAATATTTCTTTCTCCAAATGACTACCTTATTAAAACTGAACTCCCTCAGTCTGCTTTTCAAAAGAAATAGGTCCATGGCTAAATGTATGGCAGCTCACTGGGCAAATAAAACATCCAGTTGAAGCTGTTAAGTTATTGTAGTTTGCAAGGGTTAGATTAGATTGTTAAAGAGTAGTTATTGCCTAGCTTCCTAATTAGAGGAATTGGCAATTTTGTTGTTATTTTTATTACATACCTCATTCCCACTTGTCCTTTAATTGTCCTATCCCTCCCAAAGCCTGTCAGCATCATTTTTGTTAAGCTCCCTTTGATGATCCTCTGGCAATCCAGCATCTCTCTAACATGACATTATACCATAATAATTGACCTACTTGTCTGTTTTCCTGAACATGGAATTTAGTAATCAATAATGATTAGTGATCAGTATTAATGATTAGTGATCAGTAATGTTTATTGAATGATAAATGAACAATAAAAGAAACTGGGATCTGTTATCTTTTAAATTTGCTCTTGCTGGGTGCAGTGGCATATGCCTGTATTCCCAGCAGCTTGGAAGGTTGAGGCAGGAGGAACGAAAGTTCAAAGCCAGCTTCAGCAACTTAGCAAGACCCTTTCTCAAAAGAAAAAAAGAAAATGGACTGGGGATATGGCTCAGTGGTTAAGCACTGTGGGTTCAATCCCTGGTATGTATAAATAAAAAATAAGTAAATAAATAAGTAAACAAACAAACAAAATTGCTCTCTACCTTAGAAATACCTTAATCATTACATGTAAGATTTCATAGAGAGCCAGTTTGTTTTCTTGTGATTAAAATACAGTTATTGGTGGCCCTGTTGAGAGTCAGTAAGTGTCCTCCTGTCTGTAACCACAAGACCACTTTGCTGACATGGCCCAGCCACCTCTATTTCCCCAGACTGTTGTGAGGCCTTGGGGAGCTAAGCTGGGCTGAACAGTCACCGGGAGCAAGAGGCACGCTCTTCGAGGGTGACAGTAGTCTAGAGACTGCAGGTCTGAATGGGGATACCCAATGCACGTGGTGGTGCCCCTGCATGCGAGGTTAACTCATTCTAGCTCACCCAACCTTAACACTCCATTTATCTTAAAGAAATTGGACATCATGTGTACATGCATGATATGAAGAAACTGGTTACAGTTTCTACTCCTATCTGCAAACAAATGGGCCCAGAATGGTGTAAGAGACTCTTTGGTTGAATGGACATAAAAATTCTTGTTAAGAACAAGTTGGGCTGTGGTAACTGACCTTCATAGCTAAAGTATACAATTATTCGGAAAGTATGAAAGGACATTTTGTAATTATAGTGTGCCCTTATGCTTGTGATACTTGTGATATGATTGTGAATGTTGATATGATTGTAAATAGTGTCAAACTCTGTTTCATTAATTATAAGGGGATTATGTCTGAAAAAATATGGTTTTTACAGTTAAAGTTTTATTTTTTTAAAGTTAAAATTTAAATTGTAAAAACTTTAGACAAAAATGATTAGAAAGCTGCTGAGGGCCAGCTTCACAATCAGTATTTTCTCCCACCACTGGAGCTGCTCTGTATCCAGCCTTCTGTCTTGGAGAGGTAAGAAAAAAGAAACTGAAATAAGAGTGCTCCAAGTCAACCCCTTCTCATCATTAAGTGGTAGACAGTCAAATGATATTTCTTGCATCATTGATTTAACCCTTTTTTATTTTGGCAAAAGTTAATGTCTTTAAATATAGGAAAGTCTCTATTGACAGCATAATTTCTATTTTAAAGTGGGAAATAAGCTACTTAAGAATAGAAGGAAGAAATTAATGCAGAAAAAGTACACTTTCTTTTTCTAAATATATGTATTTATGCACAAATGTACAGGAAAGTCAAGATGTACTCTTAAGTTTATGTGTGGTACTCTTTGTAAAGCTTCTGTGTTAGAGGATTTAGAGATCAGTGTGCACATTTTGACCTACACCTTATATATTTTTTGAATATTTTAAAAGTTGAATATTTTGAAGGGAAAGAAGTAGTGTCAGCAAAAGATTATTTTCTTTGTATAAAGAGAAATTAGTAAAATGCTCATTTGTTTCATTATCAAATATTTATCTTCTTTTCTAGAAATTTCAAGAAATTGCAGAAAAAAATATGGAAAAATTGAACCAAATTGAGAAGTCCCATGAACAGTTGGCTATTGAAAATTCACACTTCAAAAACATGTTATCAAAGACTCAAAGGGATCAATCATCCTTGCTGGCAGCCTGTGCATTGATGGCTGGGGCATTATATCCCCTTTATAGCAGATCCTGTGCTTTATCTACACAGAGAGATTTTCTCCAGGAGCAGGTCAACACCTTTGAATTGTTCAAATTGGAAATTAGAACGCTAGCCCAAGCATTGTCAACGGTAGAGGAAAAGAAGCAAGAGGAAGTGAAGATGAAGAAAAAACCATTCAAAGGATTGATACGTATATTCCGGAAAGGTGTCATTGCAATTTTGGCAGCAAACAGACTCAAGATTTTGGGCCAGTCATGTGCTTCTCTTTTTACCTGGATGGAAAGTTTCAAAGAAGGTATAGGCATTTTAGTGTGCACAGGAGAGCCCAAAGACAAGCATAAATTTCCAAGTAAGATAATTTGTGTTTTTCAAATCTAAGTTGCATATAAATGAAGTAATTGGGAATGTAGTTGGCTCTTCTATAAAATCTTTAAAAATCATGTTGGGCTGGGGTTGTGGCTCAGAGGTAGAGCGCTCACATAGCACTTGCGAGGCGCTGGGTTTGATCCTCAGCACCACGTAAAAATAAATAAATAAAATGAAGGTATTGTGTTCAACTACAACTAAAAAATAAATACTAAAAAAAATCATGTAATATATCTAATCATGAAACAGAACTGAATCCGTATAGGTACATATGTGATGTATGGAGAATTGTACATTTTATCTAACTACATTTTTTTGTTATAAACTGATTAAAATTTAATTTTTACACTGTCCAGCTTTATTATGTTTGAATCTTCTTTTTTTTTTTTTGCAGTAAAGGATTTGTACAGTGCCTTTTTAATTAAGACAATCTAAAACAAACTTGATTTAAAATTAATTTCCTTTCACTTTCTATGAGTTAATATAAAATGATAAGAGTTAAAAAAATTATTGAGTTGTGTGAAAATGACACAAATGTAAAATATTCTAGCTAATAGATATTTGAAAGCTGGACTATTCTGAGGAAGCACTCTATATTAACTTTTTTAAAAAGTAGGCTACTAAATAATATATTACAATTAAAGAAAATTTCTTTTTGGTTTCAGTTAACAGTTATCTATAAAACAGTAAATTAGGTCAATCAAATCTAACATATCTTGTAGATTTTTCTTCTGCACTAAGCAGTGTTCTGTGTGCAGTTTCATTTGTGTCTTAAATAACTGAACACTGCCATGAATTTAAAATATGGGTTTCAGTAAAACTTTTGGAGCATTTCATAATGAATATTATCTATTTTTGTAGAACATCAAAGGGAACAGTTTCGTTGTTTACAAGCGCTCACTTGGCTTACCAGTGCTGACCTTCTTGCTGCAATAATCAGTTCTATGGCCGAGTTACAAGAAGTCATTAGTAAAACAGGTATGATTTCCTCTTTTATGTCCTTGCAAATGTACTTAAAAGCAAATGTCCAGAAATTTTTTATGGTACAATGTCTAGTAAACTATGTAGGAAGAAAATATATTGGTTTTTATCTTTCTTTTTTCAGTAGCAGAGAGATTGTTAAATCCATATGTAATGCTATAATAAATTAATGTAAATTTATTTAAAAAAATGTTTTAAAATTTATTTCTTAGTTTTAGGTGGACACGATATCTTTGTTCTATTTTTATGTGGTGCTGAGGATTGAACCTAGTGTCCCATGCATGCTAGGTGAGCACTCTAACACTGCGCTACAACCCCAGCCCCAAATTAATGTAAATTTAAATGGTTAATTTTGTCTTTATTTATGGAGGAAATTAAGTGACATTTTTTGGCAAATATATCTACCTCATTTTTTTCCCTTTGTCATCTGGCTTTTGATTTTTTTAGTTAATAATACAGCAGTTTTCTTTAAATTGTTTTGGCCTTTATTCTTTTCTACTTCTGTAAATTTAAGAAGCTTGAATAGTAATTGAGCCAGTAGAAAAATTTTCTATCTCATTTGGTGAGTTTTTAATTTTGTCTAATTTATTTTAGAGAGAGTTATTTGGAATAGTCTGTGCCTTTCTTCCAGGTATAGAACCAATAATCGTGATTCCCAAAGGTCTAAAATTCAAGTTTATTTTTTCATGACTCAGATTTTATGATATGTTTGTATGAAAGGTTCGATGAAAACTAGTTTCTCTGTGATGGAAGTAATGTTGACATACAATTATGGGTTAAGCTGTGTCATTGGACTAATTATGATAATTTCAGATTCATTAGTAGTAAAAAATAATGTAATCGTGTTTAAGACTTTTCTGCTTAATGAAATGTGTAAGCATCAACTAAATGACAATGTGGTGTATAATTTAATTCTTGAGACAATACTATGTAAATATGAATTATTCATTGTGATTTTAAGGGACTGGGATGTAATTCAGTGGTAGAGCTCTTGCCTAGCATGTGCAAGGCCTTGGGTTCAATCCTAATACTTGAAAAAAATAAAATAAAAAATGTGGATTCTGGAGCTGGACTGCTGGATAGGGATCCTGGTTCTGGCACTCATTGTGATTTCAAGTATCTGAAACTAGGTTCTTCTAGTAGGAAACTTATGACTCACAGATTATTTTTAAGTGTGGCCATTGATGTTGGTAAGCCATGTGCATATTTAATGTATTGTCAAAACCTTAATATACCGGGTTTGGGGTCTGAAATAAAAATCTAAATTATTTTAAGAATTTATATATTGTATTACAAGTTCAAGGCAAAACACTAGCATTTTTTTTTTATTTTTAGTTGTAGATGGACACAATACCTTTTATTTATTTTTATGTGGTTTTGAGGATCAAACCCAGTGCCTTATACAGGCTAGGCAAGTGCTCTACCATTGAGCCACAACTCTAGCCCAACACTAGCATTCTTGAAAGGACTTAATAGCTTGGGGTTTAGCTTAATAACCAAATGGTTTGTATTAGCTATATTTTTATATATATGTAGATACTCAAAAGCAGATTGTTTTTTTAAAGCTATAATCTTCTTTATATTATTAATTTACTTGATGTATTTTTTTCTTTTTACTGTCCTATATATACTTTAGGAGATAAATGAAAAATATGTGAATTGTTTAGTCCCTCTAGAAAATATACAAATGATTATGAAACAAAAATGACAACTCATGCGTAACTTCAGGCAGAATATAATTAAGGCTGGGATAGGAAGTGCAGGGGGGTCTTCAGGAAGAAACAAGTGATTTAGCTGGGTCTGATCAGACTGGAAATCCATGCTTAGCAGGCTTAGGTTATAGATAATGAATAATAAAGGATATTTTTATAATATCCCTATTGGAGTGGGGAGTATATCATTAGCTCATTATCAGATTTGTAGAGGTTTTTATAAAATTAGGCAGTAATTCCCCCTGAATACATTCCAAAAATGGTTCCTTGAAATATTTTTAAAGTTAAAGATCTTGGCACCATAATTATTAAGCCCAATATGTATAGGTATGACCTATCAAGTAGAAGATAGAGTAAGAATGGTGTCTTTAAGTCTTTAAGTGCTTGCCTGCCTCCAGGAACAGAGCTGCTTTGTAGTTGTGCCTCTAATGGCTTGAGGATATAGCAAGTTCAGGGAAACTTATTTTTAGGAAAGATTTTAAAATGTTTGTTGGCTAAGAAGCACTACTTAAGGGGAGAAGTGATTGTCACTCAGAGGGAAGGAATAATTGATGATAGTATCAGAGTCCTAAGGAATATTGGAAAGAACATGGTCTGGACAGGTATTATCTGAGTATTATTGAACCAGTACAAATACTATCAGTGTGGACCTTACTTGACCATTTGGGATTATAGAATAATTGGTCAAACATGATGAAGGACTTCTATATTTTCCAGGTCATTAGTTTTCATTTTTAAGTATATTCTAGCAGTAGAAATTTCAGATATTTTAGTAGAAAGGATGGGAACATATTTTTAGACAGTTTATCAGTAGATAATGAGAGTAAGTAAAGCCATAATAGCTTATATAATTATGTTATTTACAACTTAAGTGTATGAATAACCTAACTAGGTAAAAATTATTGAGAAAGTAAAAAGCTTTTAACAAATATTTGATTTTGTATCCTTCTCTGGTAACTAGCAGTTGTGTGAAATTGGGAAAGTTTTTTAAACTTAATATGTTTCAGATTTTTTTACTTGTAAATGAAGATAGGGTCTTCTTCCTGGCTGTTTAGTGAAATAATGCTTATTGAACATGTTGTACAGTACCTGGCATATAGTGGTTACTGAAACAATATTGCTCCTGTACTTACAATTGCACCATGAAAATAGCGTATTTCATTAATGGACACCCATATGCACACAGACACATTTATACAGATTTAGGCTATTAATTTTCTATCCTAAAATTGTTCTAGAGCTTTTTGGGGAGGCAATTCTTTATGGGTAAGCAGGAATTTTCCTGACCTTGGATATTGGTTTGGATGCTAGCTTATGTGACCTTGGACAAGTGTTTTAAAATTATATGTTCCTCAATTTCTTTATCTGTAAAACAGGAGTATCACCTATCTAATAGAGTCATTTGGAAGACTGAATTAATTTGTATAGAGCTTTGAATAGTCTTTGTTTATCAGTGTGCTTACTTTGTTTAGTTAAAATGTTGGTCATGGGTTGGGGTTTTAGCTCAGTGGTAGAGCTCTTGCCTCGCACATGCGAGAGCCTGAGTTCAATCCTCAGCACCACATAAAAATAAATAAGTGAAGTAAAGATATTGTGTTCAACTATAACTAAAAAGTAAATATTAAAAAAGTATTTAAAATGTTGGTCATTATTAATACATCAACTAAATAATAACAAAGAATTTTCATAAAATTTTGGAGTAAATCAAATACATTGGTTATCTTAAAATGTCAAGACATTTTACATATTACACATAGCTCTAACTTTTTAAAAAATCTTTGTTGTGAATTAACTCTATAAAGATTAAAAAGAAATTCCTTCCTCTGAATAGAGTGACATTGTGTGTTTGGGGGAGGTGTCACAGCTTTGTCTTCTTTATTAATTAATAAAGATTCCACTTAAAATAGCTTAATCAAGTAGTTTTTTTCCACTTTAAGTAATAGGCAGTCTAGAGGTATGTAGGAATCTAGACTGTCTTTCCTCTCTGTAAACCTTAGCATTTTCATATCTGTGCCTCCTAGTTTTAAGCTGTCTGCCCTACTTTCAGGCATCAGGATTGTGTTTGGGCAGGAAGGAAAAAGGTAAAGGTAAAATGCAGACACATTCATAGATTATTGGTGGGAGTGACAGTGATGCAGCTACTTTGGAGAAAAAAGTCTGGCAGTTCCTTAAAATGTTCAATAAGGACTTATCATGTGAGCTAACAGTTCCAATCCTGGTATATATCCAAGAGAAATGAAGACATATACCTACACAAAAACTTGAGAACAAATGTTTATAGCAGCAATATACTTAATAGTTTAAAAAACAAAAATAAACCAAATGTTCCTGAACTGATGAATGGACAGATATCCAAATGATGAAATTTTATTAGGCCATAAAAGGAATGAAGTTATTGATATGTGCTACAATATGGATGAGCCTTGGAAGCATTAATCCAAAAGAAAGAAGCTAGTCACAATAGATTCTACATTGTATGATTCCATTTGTTTTGAAATGTCCAGAATATACAAATTTAAAACCAGAAAGTAAATTAGTGGTTGTCTAAGACTAGGAAGGCAGCATGGGAAGTAACAGCTAATGGAGATGGAAGTTTCTGGGGCGATAAAATGTTATAAAATTGATTGTAGTATGATGACTGCATAACTCTGTAAATGTACTAAAACCATCGATTTGTACACTTTAGATGGATAAATTGAATCGTGAGTTAATTATATTTCAAGAAAGTTGTTAAAAATATGAAGGCATGTGGTTGCTGAGTTTATCTTTATGTATCTGGAAGGCAAAAGCCTTCCCTAAAGTTTACCAAGTAGGATTTTGTTTCTTTGACCTGAACTGGGTTACATTCCTAGATGGCTAGCTATAAATTAGCAGAAGAAAAGGGAAGGTTTTGTGGTTGGGTCATATTAGTTAATCAACAGTGTCTGCAATAGAGAGGATTTATGTTTTTAAAAAGCAAACCTTGCCTATTATTTCCATATTTACTATCTTCTCCATATTACAAGAGAAAGCTGGTTAATTCTGAGAACTTGAAAAAAATCACTGAAGAATAACGTAACAAAATTTTTTTTTTTTTTTTTTAATTTTTTTTTATTGGTTGTTCAAAACATTATAAAGCTCTTCACATATCATATTTCATACATTAGATTCAAGTTGGTTATGAACTCCCAATTTTACCCCAAATACAGATTGCAGAATCACATCGGTTACACATCCACATTTTTACATAATGCCCTATTAGTAACTGTTGTATTCTGCTACCTTTCCTATCCTCTACCATCCCCC